AAAAAAAAAAAAAGAAAAACATAAAAGACAAACAGCAGATAAAACATAGTCAGTCAAATCCCCAGCTATCAGGTTATTTTACTAAAGATGATGGAGTAGAAGTTGTGAAACAGCAAGTGGACCGGGCACATGGAGCAGATAAAAACAGCGCCATCGTCCACAGTTTTTAGGTTAGTTTGATTATTACATTTTTGCGCCTTGTGCTTAAACGTTCAAATACACATATTATGTGTCAAAACGCCAGTCTTTGCGAGTGTCCTCGTCAACACAGTCAGTTGTGTCGTACATGAACGTTGATAGTTAAAGATAAAGCATGTGTAGTAGTAGACTATATGAGATCACATTAATTGTGGCCAATGTGTATTACAGAAAAATAGATTTCCCTTTCCTTCCATTTTACTTCAATGAAAGGTTAGGGTTTTGTGATTTTTTTTTTAATAAAATATCAAAATGATTAACAGTGCAGATTTATTTTCAAAGGCTTCTTTGTTCAGATCTACCAAAGGTGCCAATAATTTTGATATATAAAGACTGGAAACACAATGTTAATCTGAAGTTAAGCCTGCCTCCTGGTAGGTTTAATTTAAGCCTGAATTTAGTCATGAAGTAGCTCTAGTCTTCTTCCAGGAAATCAGCCTATTAAATTATGGACTAGACTAAGTCTGAGACTATTTAAAACCATGACAGAGAAAGCAGATTTCTGTTAATCTGGTTTAAAGGGCCATTTTCGTCTAGTACTAGGCTTAATATCTGTCTGGGAAACTGCCCCAAAAAGAAAAGACATTTTTTTAGAATTGCACTCTAAGATATAGAGCAGAGTAACAGGAAGATAAATATATAAATACTTAAATACAAGAAAGATAACTGGTCAAGTTTATTTATTTGCTTATGTACATTACAGAATACCTATATGATGTTCTAAAAAAGAACCAGAACAACCACGCTGCATAAAACACAAAACTGCTACACTTTAGTTTTTTACAATAAGGAATCCAATAGAACACTTTAATCATAACACCAAGTACTAAAAGCATCAGTATAATGTTCTGTTTAAAATAAACAGAGCAACAACAACAAAATATATTTTAAAACATATTTTCATATACATATATATATATATATATATATCTCATTTTGTTGACGGGTACACAAACTTTAAGGAATCATGCTAAAACAGAAAGGACATGTTTTCTTCACTTCTAAGCCCATTTACTTACGGTCCTGATCTTGGGCCATCAATAGCAAAAAAGAAAAGGGCTAAAATGAGCCTTTTCCAAACACAAATCTCCTTCATAGTCAAGAGTGATTATCTAAGACTAAAAGCAAATCAGATGCCTCTCAGAAACCCTGCAGAACTTCAAGAAGCTCTACAGCAGGGCTGCCCAAACTCGGTCCTGGAGGGCCGGTGTCCTGAAGAGTTTAGGCTACTCTCAATCAGCTGCACTGATGGCAGCGACATTTAAACACTCTTCATTGCTGGGAGGAATTAATTAAGCTTGTTCATTTCAATGATTAACCTCCAACCTGGAATTAATGTTGTCCGTTAATTGCTCCATTTAGTATGGCTTTAAAACACAACACATTTGCCTTGTCCAAATACCCACACTTGCGGTCTTTGCACTTGAGCACTTGACTACTTATATGATGCATTTCCTGTATTTGGCCCAAGTGTTCAAGTGAGCATGAAGACCACAAGTGTGTGTCGAACTTTTTATTACCTGATGGGACACACTTATGGTGCTGTAAAAATCCTGTGTTCGAAACCGCATACTTCCCTACTATATAGTAGGCAAAAGGCAGTAGACAAGCGAATAAGTATGTTTGAATCCTCAGTATTAATAAAAGAGTAGGCGAGAAATCCCTGGATGTCCTACTGCTTCAGTCCAGGGGGCTGTTTCATAAAACAAGTATACCAAACAAGCCAGGTTTATTTCAGTTAGTCTGGCTTATTGTCAGTTGATTTGGTTCAAAATAAGTCAGAATAACTGCAATAAGCCTGGCTCGTTTGGTAATTGTTTTATGAAACAGGCCCCAGATTCTGAAGTGTTCATCTGATGGACACTTTTCTTTCCCAGAAGCCCGTGCGAGAGGATACGTCATCATCGAACAGGGCGGAGAACAGCGACGAGGGTGTTTACAAATGTGAGTATAAACCAAAACACGGTTCCTGGTGTTGCTGAAGGTGTAAAGACGCTACACCGTATAGTATATTTGTGATTTTTCAGAAAAATACAAGTTTTATTATGTATAGCGAACAGGGGAGCTCCAGTAAGCACACGCACATCTCCAAAGTGGATTTACATAAACCATATACATCTTAAAAACAACTTCTAAATGTCTATTTAATATGTAGGAAAATGCTCTAAAAGAATTGCAGATGAGTACATCTAATAGGCATAGATATCTGAGTGATGTATGTGTGCTATTATGTAGAATGCACTGTTGTCAACACACCGCTTACATTAGTTGAATGTAAGTAATGTAAATAAACAAATCTACATAAAGTAATTAAACATAAGTTGTCTGTTTTATTTGTCCATTATTACTGTTGAGAAAATGAGGAACATTTGTGTTGGAAAAAAGTGAGTTAACACATCAGCAACTACCTCAACATTTAAATGCAGTACTGAGCAGCTAAATCATACAAGCTCAGGGAAAGATGGTAGTAGTATCTTTAACAATGAACAATCATAATGACAAAAAACAAATGTAATGGGTTTGCATACATCATAGTATGTGATTATATACACAGAAAAAAGGCACAATAAGGTTAAATATATTTGAATATTCATAATATTCATAGTCATATTACATCAAAAAATCACATTTGTTTTTGTTGTTAATTATAATTTAATTATAAGTCTTTTTACAAGAAAAAGAGGAAAACAAAGGAGATTTAAGCCAGTTTTGCTTATGCTTGAAAACTTTTGCACACAAAATAAATAAATGAACGACATATTATTACGGTTTTCGTAATAAAATATAATATGTTTAAGGATAACTTAAATCAACCCAGAATGTATTGGTTATACTACAATCACAATAAAAGGGCAGCTGTTTCTTCAACAAGACCACCAAATGAGCAAATTCCATCAACATCAAAATATTTACAGATAGATGAATTAAACCTGTTCATATCTTTAAGTTGTTGCTCTTGTAAAGTCGTAAGTCACATGACAACGTTAACATATGGCGGATGATGTCCGGATCGCATTCATACTTCACAAGATTTGGCTGTAGAGTACATAGACACAAATGTCTATGCTAGAGTATACCCCTTTAGCGCTCGTTAAGGAAGTACTTAAGTGCCTACTTATTGAATGCAGTTTCGAACGCAGCCATTGATTGCAAGTATTTTATTGTGATCTTAACTCGGCCTTCAATACGTGTACCCTGCTTGCTTGTTTCCGATAATTAAGAACGTTTTAATATCAGCTGAGCAGCGCTGGGCGACAGATCTAAACAGAAGTTTTGTATGGTTTCTGAAAGAAACCTCTGATTTGCGTCTAAATTTGGATGATTGTTTTACATGGCTGTGATGGAGATTTGTGTTTGGAAAGGGCTCGTTTTAGCTCTTTTCATCTTTGCTGTTGGTGGACAGAGATCGGGACTGTAAGTAAATGGGTTTTGACGTGATTAGAAGCGTCCTGCTGTCCGTTTTCTTCTGATTGAATTGCATTATATAGATTGAAATATGAAGCTTTGCAAAATACCGTAGCTCTTCTTTTAAAGGGATAGTTCAGCCAAAAATGAAAATTCTGTCAATTACTCGCCCTCATGTCTTCCAAACCCGTAACGCCATCTACACACTGCACAACTTTAGCAATCCTGTAAGTTTATTTGTTTGTTTGCGCACAATAAGTATTCCTGTAACTTCATAAAATTACAGTTGACCCACTGATGACATATGGATTGTTTTGTCGATGTTCTGGACCTTGAACGGGGTAGTAACCTTGCTGTCTATGGAGGGTCAGAAAGCTCTCGGATTTCATCAAAAATATCATAATTTGTGTTCCGAGGTCTTACGGGTTTGGAACGGCATGAGGGTGGGTAGGGCTGAGCGGTATATCGAGTTTGTACGATATATCGATATTTTCTTTATAAGCGATTCGATATGAGGCAATACCGTTTATATGGATATAAAGTAGTTTGATTCGAGCGCATCTGAAAATATAACGGAGGGCACAGACTGAGCTGCTGTGGAGAAAGTGCATAATCCAGTTTGTTCTAAACATGTGACAAGCTTCATATTAAGGCAATAATGGTAAGACATAGTTTATAGTTTATAGTTTGGTTTGGCATATTAGTTTAAGCGGCTCGGCTGTCATATGCTCTGACAGAAAGGCTCCGTGTGCCGCTGACAGAGACGCGCTGTTTAATGTGTTTGAGATGTGCTGTCTTCATGAATGCATAACTTACATTTCACCGGTATATTCTCCATCTGTAAATGTTAGAAAGCCATGGAAATATTTCAATTTTTCTGTCAGAAGTGCATGAGCCTTCTGCTTTGGGATTCTCCGCTAAACTTCACGAACGCTGCCGCTCGCATGCGCGTCAAACAGACAGAGCTCAATTAAATAGGAGCCAAAAATTCTGACTAAAATATACATTTCGCTTAAATATTTGTAGTTGGACAATAAATGTGACCTGTAGGATATATATATTAAATGCAGATTTTTTTTTTAGAAAACACAAAAACGAAAATACCGAGATATATACTGTGTATCGCAAATCGGCCAAAAAATACCGAGATATTAGTTTTTGCCCATATCGCCCAGTCCTAAGGGTGAGTAATTAATGACAGATTTTTCATATTTGGGTGAACTATCCCTTTAAGTGTGGGGAAAAAATAAGCTTTGAATCAGTTGAACCAATTGCTTCGCAAAATGATTCACTGTGAAGCCTCGCGTGTGATGCATGCTGGTCAAAACTGTGTAACGTTACATGCATTAAAACACCTTTTGCAAACCAGTATCCAATGTTTTATTGAAAGTACCGCTCATAAGGTTAAAAGAGTTCACTATAGTGTACCTCAACTGTGGTAATATAAATAGGACCGCCACTCATACACAACAAGCTGGGTTTAGGTCAGAGTAGTTTTATGTGGCGTTAACATCTTGGCCATTTACGCCAAGGACCATATAACTAAAAGTTACCGATCATTCTAAACTTAAAGAGAATAGCAGAGTCCACACCTCAACAGAGGAACGATGTAATTGGAATCCATTTCAGAACTCTTTTTTTTTTTTTTTTAAATCATCAGTTACACCAATGTACTTGGACATTATGGACTCTTAATGTAGTTATCTTTAGTTTATAGTTATTGTTTTCTGAACAGGCCTTTGGAAAGATGCCAAACATATGTACACCAACCCAGCCGTGAACTTCATATAGGTATTAACATTTATGTCAGTGAACAAAATTCCATGCTATTTTAAAACTTAATTAATTGGCTGTATTGAAACCATAAACAGTTAAATAGTTCCATTCATTACCAAATCATAGCTTCTGAAACTAAACTACTGATGTTTCCACAGATCCTTCTTGGTGACATTTCCTGCGGTGATTGAGTCCAGCTCTGATGCCAAATTGTGTGCAAGTCTTCTGAAACCCAATGAGACTCTCACATTGACCGTTTCTCTGCTTGATCACAAAAACCAGACAACACAACTTGTGCAGCAGAGATCTTCAGCAGAGTTTCACCGCTGCTTTAGTTTCCAGGTCTGTCATCTTGTGGAATATGCAGCATTTTCGTCTGGTTTTTGTGCTAACAACATGGTTCTCTACAGGCTCCTCGAGTAGATGGAGAATTGGTGCAGAAACTGAGGGTGGTAGTTCAAGGGAGGGTTTTCAAAATGATCGAAGAGAGGAAAGTCATGTTCAAACATTACCTGCCTTTGACCTTCATCCAAACTGACAAACCCATCTACAATCCAGGACAAGCTGGTGAGCTACAAATGACCCTTGGATGAATATTTAGTCAACTGAACTTGTAGCATTTGTTACACTTTCTAAATGTTCAATTGCATTATGTAATAGTTGGGAGTGTTAATCTGCATTTCCCTTTTGCAGTGAATTTCAGAGTTGTGACCATGAATACCAAATTTGTGCCTCTTGATCAAATGGTAAGTTCTCATATTCAGCGATTTAAACATTTTATTTTTTTTAATGATGTATAAGGTTGCAGGTAGGGATTTTCATTTTAACGGTTTAACCGGTTAATCGACCATAATAATTTTGACCGTCATTTAATTATTTATTTTTTTCAGTAATTTATCAAAATATTTTAAAAGGTTTGCTGCATGGCTAAAATACGCTACGTGTATACAAAATGAAAAAAACAAGTCGCCTATAAGTCGCATTTTATTATTTAATTAAATAAGCCTAATGCCGCCGCGAAATGTTTACAAACATTATAATAAACACTGTAAACATAGCTAGGCTATTTTAGTTCCTCTCACTCCACAACAAATCCTTTCAAGTAACAGTATTTAGAAAATAACAAGAATTAAAAATATAAGAAGCTATGGCAATATAAACAAGTCAAAACAAATTAATTGAGGCTAAAACGAAACTCAAACCAACGTTGGGTCTCTCATTCGACACAAAATCAAATGTTTCTGTATTCGCAATGTATTTGAATGCCAAAATATTATTTATTATGTAGGCCTTCTTCACTTGCATTCCAATATCCACGTAAAACAAAATGTTTTGCATAACACGGAGGTACTGTGATAACACTTGACGGCTTAACAGATCTTACTATATACAGTGGGTACGGAAAGTATTCAGACCCCCTTAAATTTTTCACTCTTTGTTATATTGCAGCCATTTACTAAAATCATTTAAGTTAATTTTTTTTCCTCATTAATGTACACACAGCACCCCATATTGACAGAAAAACACAGAATCGTTGACATTTTTGCAGATTTATTAAAAAAGAAAAACTGAAATATCACATGGTCCTAAGTATTCAGACCCTTTGCTCAGTATTTAGTAGAAGCACCCCCATATGTTTGACTGACTGTATTTTATTATGATAATGAACAGGCTGCATTGTCAAGGTAGCAAAGCTTAACTGTGTGTGCATGCGGCGCCGGCGCAATCACTTGAGTTTTTTCCTTCTAACAGTGGAAGCAACTACTCCTTTTAGTCCTAAAGATAATCGGAATTGTAAAAGGTTTGCCTTTACTTGTGTACATTCACAATAAAAACAAATCTTTGTGCTTTTGTAAAATAAGCCTAAAGAAAAATATGATGCCGCTTTCTGCCGTCTGTTTCCTTTCGTGCAGCACAAAAATGAACCGAAACTCTGCATACTAGGCTAGCTGTTGCACAGTTTTTCTTTCATGTTCTTAATTTATTTGTTCTTAAGTAAACATGTTTCTCGTATAGGCCTATTTATTCGATATATATACATATATACACAGCCTAGCTTTATTTTTCTCCGCTCGCAGAAGCGCTGCAGGTGTGTGATGTGATATGATGATCGAGTGAATCCTCATGTTCTGGTGTTTGCTGCTTTTTGCACGTGTAAAATTAATCCCCGGGAAACAAATGTTAGTATTTTTAACGGGACACAGATACTTTATCATTTCTAATTTAATTCAATTCTAATTTAAAATAATCTTGTCGGTTAACTGTTAACAATCAGTTAACGAGCGTCGGTTAGGAAAAATAACCGAAATGAACATCCCTAGTTGCAGGTTATTTTTAGATGCACAAACCTCATGTTGCTTCATCAGCATGTATGTGATTTAAATGTCTAATATTTCTGTGTTTGTGTCTTGCAGTACAGTCTGGTGGTAGTGGAGGTGAGAGTTTGCTCCGAAGCAAGTATTTGGATGGATGTGGCACTGTTTTATTTCTACATGTTCTCTGCATATTTTTTTTTTAGATTTGTTATATTTCTGAGCTGCTTTTTTTTTTTTTGTCAATAGGACAATAATAATAATCGGATTGGTCAGTGGACAAATGTTTCCTCAACGAGGTGGATTTTGCAGCTTTCTCATGAGTTGAACCCAGAGGCTCAGATAGGGATGTACACACTGAGTGCTTTTATTGGTGACCGAATGATCTCACAGGTTTTTGAGGTGAAAAAATATGGTAGGTCACCACATAAAATGTGCAACTGGTAGATCTGAAGACAAATCGGAGGTCTTTATTTAAAGCATTCATTTCTGGTTTAGTTTTACCCAAGTTTGAGGTCACCTTAACTGCACCACAGATGTACAGTGTTGGAGATGTGGGACTGAAAGTTGAGGCTTGTGCCAAGTAAGTGCTTATTTCCTTGAATTTGTCTTGTGGTTGGTCGGTTCTTGATCTCGTTCTATGTAACATCTTCCCAGATACACATATGACCAACCTGTACCAGGTCAAGCATTGGTGGAAGTGTGCCGTGAGCCATTTCCATATGATGAGGTTCCTGGTTTGACTCGTCAATGCCTGTATAAATACATTAAGGTGTGACTACTGCTGTACAGAGTAGGGTTTTTCTTCCACATGTGCTTTACTTTTAATATGACTGTCTTTGTTCTGCTACCAGATGAATGCCACGGGCTGTGCCTCCCTTAACTTCAGTACATCTGTGTTTTTCAACTCCAAATTTGAGAATAATATGCAAAATTCCCTTCTTGTTAATGTGAATGTCACTGAGGAGGCAACAGGTTAGTGAGCTATTGGCTTATTTGAAGCAGCTTAACATGTTTATTTGGTGCCTTCATGTTTGTGCCGTTTCTTTTTCCTCCAAGACGTAGTCATGTCAAAGTCCACAAATGTGTCCATTACGTTTGAAGTTGGCAAGATCACCTTTGTGGGGCTCCCAGAGTTCTTTCAACCTGGATCAACGATTGTGGGAAAGGCAAGTAAAAGTTTCACTTGTTACAGAAGCCTTCACATTGGTTACCTTTCCTAACCATGGTCTTTCCCAGTAGATCTCTGCATCTTTTTTCAATGGGACTCCAATTGTGAGCAAAGCGGTGTATCTGCTGGATGGTTCCAGCTTGCCCAACGAACTGCTGTTGAATCTGACTACAAACCAGAACGGACTGGCCACGTTGTCCTTTAACACTGCTGATCTCCGTAAAGCTGATCTTAATCTGGTGGTACGATTTGTTCTCTTTCTCTGATTTTAAATGAAGACTTCTCTCAAAAGAATCCAATTCCATTCATTGTTCTTCAGGCAAGTGCAACTCCAGTGAATTCTTATGGTTCCAAATCGCCGTACTTCAGTTCAGATACAAGAGTGGTTCAACATCTCCAACCTGCTACTCCCAACAGCCCAACCTTCAGTGAACTGTCTATAGTGAAGCTTGAGCAACCATTGAAATGTGGCACCACTTATCCAGTGACCATCAAGTATTCTTTTGTTGGCGAAACTGGCAACTTCGATGCTGACATCGTCTATATGGTGAGTGGGCTCCAGTTTTGTAGTGATTTTTCTGTTTTGACTGCACTGGTCTGTTTGTATGACACCTGTCATATGCACCAGTCTCTCTCTCTCTGTCTTCTTTCAGGTCTTGTCCAGAGCAGTGATTTTTCTCCATGGGTTTAAGAAGGTTCAAGTGAGGGCTTCTAATAGCATCACGAGCGGCACCATGTCATTCCAGCTGTCTGTGGGTGGTGATTTGGCACCAGTTGTGCAAATTCTGGCTTTCTGCGTTCTGCCCAGTGAGAATGTAGTTGTTGGTAGTGTGGCTTTTGACACCGAAATGTGTTTCCAAAACCAGGTATTATGTGCACTAGCATCTCGTTTTCCTATGTGGGGTACAGTAACTTTTCCTACAGCATGTGAGCTGGTTCTTGTTCCAGGTGTCTCTGCAGTTCTCTCCAGCTACTGCCGTTCCTGGCGAGAAAAACACTTTGACTGTTTCTGCCCAAGCAGGATCCCTGTGTGGCCTCAGCGCTGTAGATCAGAGCATCCTGATCATGGAGCCAGGAAGACGTCTGAGTGCTGAAATGGTATCCATGTGCCGTTGGTTCCATTTTCCTGTTGGACTTGATTTGACATCCAGGTTCAGCTTTAGGATTTGAGTTATGATGTGGCTGTTACATTTAAAGGGGACATCAGATGCCCATTTTCCACAAGTTGATATGATTCTTTAGTGTCTTTATGAAAAGTCTATAACATACTTTAGTTAAAATTTCTCAATGGTAGTGTAAAACAACACCCTTTTTACCCTGTCAAAAACAGCTCTGTTCACAGCAACCCGTTTCGGTGCATGTCCCTTTAAATGCTAATGAGCTCGGCTCCCCCCGCCCCTCTTTTCTGTGGGGTGATGAGCAGTTCTCTGAGAGACTGTAAACTTTAGCCGCGGAAAATAGATGCATTTAGGCAGATCGGGGGCGCATTCCCTTCAAAACCAAAGGTAATCCACTGCGTCTTCAGCGGCTCAGATGTCGGGAGTAAATGATGACTGCTATGTTCATTATTGCATCCAACAACAAAACACCTCAATCGCTTGTGTGACATTCTTGTCTACTCCTGCTCCGGCGTCATAACAATGGCGGACTGTTGACAGCTCACTCAGGGTGGGTCTGTGCTAAAACGGCCTTGTCAGTCAATAGTCATGGGAGGGGCCTTGGCCTGTGTGACGTACATCTGGGGGCTGTTTCATAAAAGACGCTAAGAAAAGCAGGGATTAAAGTCCAAAACCTGACTTGAAATAACCTAACAAATCAATCGGGACTAAAGCGGTTTCATAAACGACAATTTAAGTTCACGCAATCTCACTAATTCGATCCAGGTTCAATGAGTCAGGATAATTTGATGTGCACGCTTATTCTTAAGCACCCCTTAATGTCGATCATGGATCAAATCGATCCACCATGGCAAACATGTTTTCCTCAGTGTGTAACTGACACGTCACAGGTATATTTTTCTTCTGTAAATGCTAGAAAGTCATGCAAATATATCCATTTTGCTGTCAGGAGTGGACGAGGCTTTTACGCGAGCGAATGAGCGCTGCTGCGCGCAACACAGGCGGAGCAGAATAAAATATATATTCTGCTAAAATATTTGTTGTCACATTAAATGTGACATGTAGAATTTTAATCCTACATATAAGTGTATTTTTATGATAGCAGTAACTGTAAATCAAATGTAAGCTGGCTAATACAGCCCTACTAGCTCAAATGAGTTAAATGTGTGTGTTCCTCTTCTCAGTTAAAATGTAGTCTGATTTCTATTTTTATTGTCATTTTTAATTCTGTGATTTTAACTTTTAATTTAGTGTTTTTAATGCTTTAATGCTTTAAAGAGCAATTTTAGTTTGTAATGTTTTAATGTTCTACTAATAACCATAAAAGGTACAGCTGTCATAAAATCCGAGATAAAGACTGCATGGCTAGAAACTGCTGATCAACTGAATGTGCAAGTAGCAACTGTGTTAAAATGTTTTCATATACCTTTAAAAAAAAAAGTCATTACATTCTGGGCACAATACATTAAATACAGTTGGTTGTAGCCTATTTTTTTTTATTTATTTGATTTAAGTTGCATTTTCTGTATACTTTTACTTTTGGACTAATAATGAAGTCAACTAGTTGTATGTGTAAGAGTCAGTGGTAATATCAATGCGTTCCTATTGGTCAGTGTTAGAACTCCGCTTAGCCTGACGGTTAGCCTGCTCCGGACCAGGTTAGTTTCCCAGCATAAGTTGGCACCGTGACAGAGCTTGAGCTATGGTAATTTTGCTTTCAGAAACCAAATCAAGTGACAATAAGTCAGAATAACTGAAATAAGCCTGGCTTATTTGGTAAACTAGTTTTATGAAACAGCCCCCAGGCCAGAATCTGAGAATGGCTTGATCTGAGAAAGTGCTAATGTTTTTTTTGGGGGGATTTAAAAAAAAAAAAAGCACTAGGTGGATTTTTGTCATTATAGGGTGTTTGTGTACACGCACTGCTAACACACATTTATGTTCAAACACCATGTAAAATTGGATTTTCATCTGATCTCCCCTTTAAAACCGTAACTTTATGAACTTGTGTATTGTTCTCAATTCAGTTATATTCTAATCAATAAAATGATTCTACATTGACCCTAACAGACCAATCAGAATGAGCTTCTGATTAAAAATAAAAATGTAATAAGTAAATGGGGAATAAACAGTGCGTTTAGTTAAGCAATTTTCCAGAGATGTGTGACACCATCACTATTGTTTCATGGTTCCAGGTTTTCAACATGCTCCTGATACGATCTGCATCAGGTTACCCATACAGCGTTAACGATGAACAGGAGTGTATGAGTTTTCGACTCCGTCGAGCTGTTCCTATAGATCATGCCTATACAAGTTTCAGGGTAGAAAATCATTCATGACCATGTAGTCACTGAATACTACAAACTACTTTATTTAAAATACATCTTGTTTTGGCTTGCTGCTCTGGCAGAGCGTGGGGATGAAGCTCGCAACAAATCTGAATGTACGAGAACCTGAGTGCCTGACGTACAAAGGCATGAAGTATTATCGCAGCTTCCCCAAAAGTAGGTCTATGCATTTAGATGGTTCTTTCCATGAAAACTATTTTTGCATGACTTGGTGAACTTGGGTTATTCCACTTGATCTAAAAGTATAAATAAATGCAACAAGAGGTGCCATTGAGATGGCTTGAGAACTGAAGTGCATACAAAAAAGCAGGAACTTGTAGCTTTAATGTCTTTTCAGTGAACTTTGAAATGCAGCCCTTTGCGGTGGATGCGATGGCTGCTGCTCCAGTAGCAGAGAGTGGAGGCGAGAGCAGTTCCTCTTCCTCTTTTGACCTAACTGTCAGGACTTATTTTCCAGAAACTTGGATATGGCAGCTTGCTCAAGTGGGGTTAGTGAAGCATGTCTTTATTTCATGAGTTGCACACAGTTTTTACCTTTCTTGTCCCCTTTTTACCCCTTATTTCTGTTTTCTGGTGTTCTTTCTTCAGAGACTCTGGGTCCACACGGGTTCCTCTCAAGGTTCCTGACACCATCACCAAATGGGAGACAGGGGCGTTCTGTTTGTCCTCCAAAGGTTTCGGTTTGGCTCCTCCGGTTTCACTGATGGTCTTCCAACCCTTCTTTCTGGAGCTTTCTCTGCCATACTCCATGATCCGTGGGGAGTCATTTGAGCTGAAGGCCACAGTCTTCAACTATCTGTCCAAGTGCATCATGGTCTGGGTTTATTTATAATGGATCTGTATAGAGAAGATCCCGGTGTCTTTGCTCTGTGTATTAATGATTTTCTTTGGCAGGCTAAAGTAACTCCAACTCAATCCTTGGCCTTCACTCTGAGACCATTTAATGATCCGTATTCATCCTGTCTCTGTTCCAACGGAAGAAAGTCCTTTAAATGGATTCTCTCAGCTTCTGTTCTCGGTCAGTTTTGGACCATCGGTCTCTCTCCAAATTTAAGTGTTTATATTTACATTACGTTTACATTTAGTCATTTAACAGGCACTTTTATCCAAAGCGACTTACAAATGAGGACAATGGAAGCAATCAAAATCAACAAAAGAGCAATGATATGCAAGTGCTATAACAAGTCTCAGTTAGCTTAATGCAGTACATGTAGCAAGATTTTTTAAAAATTATATCATAAATAAAAAGAAAACCGATAGAATAGAAAAAGAATAGATCAAGCTAGTGTTAGAGGCCTTTTTTGCTTTTGTTGTATAATAAATAAAAATTAAACAAATAGAATAACAAAAGATTAGAAAAGCCAGTGTTAGTTTTTTTTTTTTAAAGAATAGAATTAGAATAGAGAGTGGGTTAGAAGTGAAATAAAGATGGAAGAGATGTGTTTTTAGCCGATTCTTGAAGATGGCTAAGGACTCCGCTGCTCTGATTGAGTTGGGCAGGTTGTTCCACCAGGAGGGAACATTAAATTTAAAAGTCCGTGAAAGTGATTTTGTGCCTCTTTGGGATGGCACAATAAAGCGATGTTCACTTGCAGAACGCAATCTTCTAGAGGCACATAAGTCTGCAGTAATTAATTTAGGTAAAGGGGTGCAGAGCCAGTGGTGGTTTTGTAGGCAAACATTAATGCCTTGAATTTTATGCAAGCAGCTATTGGTAGCCAGTGCAAATTGATGAACAGAGGTGTGACATGCATTCTTTTTGGCTCATTAAAAATTAGTCTTGCTGCCGCGTTCTGGATTAATTGTAAAGGTTTGATAGAGCTGGTTGGAAGACCTGCCAAGAGAGCATTGCAATAGTCCAGCCTGGACAGAACAAGAGCTTGAACAAGGAGTTGTGAAGCATGTTCCGAAAGAAAGGGCCTGATCTTCTTGATGTCAAAAGCAGCGGACAGATCCAGCAAGATAAGTATTAAAAGATTTGGAATCCGCTCTTGCCAGTCTTATGGCTTCAACAACTGAGAACAAGGCTGTCTCTGTTGAATGTCCACTTCTGAAACCAGACTGGTTGCTGTCGAGGAGGTTGTTCTGTGTGAGAAAGGCAGAGACTTGGTGGAACACAGCTTGTTCAAGTGTTTTTGCACTGAATGGAAGAAGGGAAACCAGTCTGTATTTCTCTAAAAGAGGGTTTACAGACTAAGGGTGGGTTTCTTAAGTAGTGGGGTTATGTCTAAATGCTGAGGGAAAAACACCAGTGTGAAGGATGTGTTAATGATGTGAGTGAGTGCATGTACAACTGCAGGAGAAATGGCTTGAAGGAGATGAGATGGAATAGGATCAAGCGGACAATAGTAGGATGATTAGAAAGGATGAGTTTGGAGACTTCTGCCTTCTGAGAGTGAAGAGAAGGATGTGAATGAGTGTATGTTTGCTGATAAGATGTGCTTGACCGATTGTGGTGTGGAAAATTGTGCATTGATGGTTTTATTTTTATTAATGAAGAACGTGGAAAAGTCGTCAGCTGTTAGAGTTGATGAAGGAGGGGGAGGCGGAGGACAAAGGAGGGAGGAGAATGTTTTAAAGAGCATGCAAGAGTTAGACGAATTGTTAATTTTGTTATGATAGTATGCCCTTTTAGCAGTGGAGACATTAGCAGAGAAGGAAGAGAGGGAGTGACTGATACACATTAAGGTCAGTAGGATTTTTTTGATTTGCGCCACACCCTTTCAGCAGCCCTGAGTTTAGAATAATGTTCGCGGAGAACATCAGACAGCCAAGGGGCAGAAGGGGTGGTATGGGCTGGCCTGGAGGACAAGGGGCAGACAGTGTCTAAACAAGATGTAAGAGTGGAGCAGAAAGTATCAGTAGCACTGTTAGCATCAAGAGATGCTAACTGTTCAGGTGGGAGGAAGCGAAGATGAAACCATAGCATATTGCCGGGAGGGTGAGATTGAGCGTAGGTTACGTCGAAAGATGACATGTGGAGGGGTATGGGTTGTGTCAGGAACCATGTTGAGGTTAAGAGTGAGGAGGAAGTGATTCGAGGGGAGCAGAAAGTATCAGTAGCACTGTTAGCATCAACTGATTTGTGAGTAGCCGTAGTTAACACTCTTGAGATCAAAAGAGGCGAGCAGAGTGTGGAAATCTGCAGCCTGAGGATTATCTAGGTGGATGTTGAAGTCTCCAAGCATAACTAGGAGAGTACGATCCTCAGGAAAGGTTGAGAGCAGCACATCTAATTAATCCAAGAAGTTACCTTGTGGTCCTGGGGGTTGATAAACAACTACAAAATGGATTTTAAAAGGGTGGGTAATAGCGACTGAATGTGATTTCAAAGGAGCTGTTAATACCCAGGGAAGGTAAAGGAATACATTTCCAATCATTAGAGATAAGCAGACCAGTACCTCCACCTCTTCCAGTCAGACGGTGGGGGTGGGAAAATGAGAAATTATTGGAGAGTGCTGCAGGAGTAGCAGTGTCCTCTGGTTTGATCCACGTCTCTGTCAGGGCCAAGTGTTTGAGGTGTTACTCACTATGATGATGGTTAAACTGATTATCCCGATTATTGTCATTTGGGATTTTTACATTTCATCTGAATTATTGCACATTCATGTAAGCACAAATCAACAGAACGACAACTCATATGTTTGGTTTATTTGACAATCTAGTTTCCTTATTTATTTTATTTAGTCTGATTCATATAAATTGACACTCTATACATTACGAAATCTGGTAAAACAAGCTTCTCTCAAAAGCTAAAAGAGCAAAATTCATAATTAACTCGAACAATTCCAAATTATTTTCATGGTTTTTCTATTAAAACAACAAAGACTTTGTATTGTGACTGTGGTTGTTAAAATAGACACAACCTCTACAGCAAACAATACAGTTGCTATCTATGTTTAGATCTATTACAGTTCATCACTGAGAAGGTTTAGTCACACCAACCCGCGCACCAAGAGAAGGAAGCAAAACTGGTTGTCTTAGTGTGGAGAGAGCATGTGCCAGATTGGGAAGATTAAGTAAAAACTGGAAAGTAAATGTATACATATAAGAGAAAAGCTCAGATTGGGGGGGATTTAAAAGCTTGACACCTGGCAACTGCAACCATAAATGCTCATGGAGTTGTTACCTCTTCAAAATACCACAAGTGAATGGGGGGGTGCTTTCAGGATGAATAACCAGAGGGCAAATAATTTTTTTTAATTTTTTTTTAATTAATTTTTTTATTATGCTTAATCAAGTGAAGCAATTAAAATGTCATGTATCCCAACTCCCTTCCTGTCTATACTGTAGGAGCTGTAAATGTGACTGTCAGTGCTCAGGCTGAACAATCCCAGACTCTGTGTGGTAATGAGGTTGTGACTGTGCCAACGAGAGGACGCATTGACATAGTCACTCGAAGTCTTCTTGTCTTGGTCTGTGGGTTTTCACCAGCTTTCTGGATAATGGAGCTCATTGTGCTTTTACTGATAAGGTGTTTTTTGCTTTTGTAGGCTGAAGGAGTAGAAAGGACCGTCACCCATAGTTGGTTACTGTGCCCAAAGGGTTTGTTTGCACTCAGTGATTTCCTCAATACGTTCTTTCTGTACCATCAAACATTAGCCTAGCGTTCTGTGGTGATTCGTTCTGTTTGGTCTGTAGCAAGCGTCATTTCAGAAGATGTGACACAGGCGTTTCCTGAAAATGTGATCCAGGGATCAGCCAGATGCTCCATTTCAGTCCTTGGTAAAGTGATTCATTGAGGGGAAGCAAACACTGTGACATTCAGCAGAATAACTTGGGCTTTTGATTTGGGTTTTTGGCTTGACCTCTTGTATATCTTCCTCTTGTAGGGGACATAATGGGTCGTGCACTGAAGAATCTGGATGGATTGTTACGGATGCCATATGGCTGTGGAGAACAAAATATGGGTGTTCTTGCTCCCAATATTTACATCCTACAGTACCTGGAAGTCACGGCACAGCTCACCACAGCCATCCAAGAGACCGCCAAGGGTTACCTTCAGAGAGGTGTTGATGACAATCAGTTTTTTTTTTTTTTTTTACTTGGGAGATTAAATCCCAAGGACGTTCCGTTCTTCTCTTCCCGTCGGAGCATGTCAGACTATTTTCTCATGTGGTCTTTGACCTGAATAGGATATCAAGGACAACTGAACTATAGGCACCGTGACGGTTCATACAGCACATTTGGTTATGATGAATCGAACACATGGTGAGTTTCTTGCTGTTCTTCTAGTCTTGTGTGTCGTCCGTTGTAGCACCAAGTTTGTACGTTCAGTTTGTCAAGAAGTTTCCTCCATGACCAGGTTGACTGCCTTTGTCCTGAGATCTTTTGGCCTAGCGAGGCGTTTCATCTTCATCGATCCAAATGTCCTTCGGAGTGCAAAGGATTGGTTGATCAGCAAGCAGGGTTCAGACGGCTGTTTCGTGCAGCAGGGAACTCTGTACCACTATGAAATGAAGGTGGTCACATGTTTCTTCAAATGTGCTGTAACCTGTAGATTCAAGGGCCCAGACGTTCTTCTAAATCAATATACTGGTGTATTTTAGGGTGGAGTTGATGATAACGTAACCATGACTGCATACATCACTGCGTCACTGCTTGAACTAGACGTCCCTGTCATGGTAAAAATGTCACCAGAAGTTGTACAAGCTCCTTGTAAATGACCTTCCTGTTCTGGATGTAGTCTGACCTCTGTTTGATTTCAGGATCCTGTCATCACCAGCGCTCTGTCGTGCTTAAGGTCTGTCTTTGGGAACCTGGAAAACACTTACGCCACTGCTCTGCTTGCCTACACTTTCAGTCTGGTTGGAGAGACCAGCACTCGATCACAGCTCTTAACTATTCTGGACAACCGTGCCATTTCTGAAGGTGACATTTATCAGACTCTTGTTTGAAATGTTCATCAGGTTCTTTGGCATCAACTTTCTTGCCTCCATCTCGTCCTAAGGCACTAAGCTCCATTGGTCTCAGACTTCATCTGGTGATACTCTGGCAGTGGAGATCAGCTCATATGTGCTGCTAGCGGTTCTCTCTGTACAGCCTCTCACGACAGCTGCTCTGAGCTATGCTAACCGCATTGTCAACTGGCTCGTGGTCAAGCAGAATCCCTATGGAGGCTTTTCCTCCACCCAGGTGACTGACCACCAAACATGAGTGCAATCCTCCATATACGAGTGGTGTGTTGAATTGCATACAGTGCTGCTTGAAAGTTTGTGAACCCTTTTCTGTATTTCTCAATTATGACCCAAAACTTAATCCGATTTTTGCACGAGTCTTGAAAGTAGACAAGGAGAACCCAGTCAAACAAATGAGACGAAAAAATATTTTGTCACTTATTTATTCAGGAAAATGATCCAATAATACATATCTGTGAGTGGCAAAAGTATGTGCATCTCTAGAATTAAAGGTCTTTGCACACGGAGTCTGAAATTTTCACGTTAAAAAATAAATACGACCTCACATTGTGTCAGTCACGTTTACACACTGTGCCCGAAACTTTTCATCATTAAAATTTCGGACCAAGTTCGATTTTCTGTGTTTTCGCATCTGTAGCAAGCATTTTCATGAAGTATGAATATGAAAAAAAAAAAAAAAATGCATATGAACATTTCGGACTCGGTGTGCAAGGGCCTTAACTGTTAATTTGAATGTGATATTAGAGTCCATCTGTTCAGAGGTGTTTTTAATCCGTGTAATGACTATCAGGTGTCATTGCCTGCTCTTTTTTTTTATTTAGAGAACAGATGTCTGTCAAAGTTTGATCATGCTTGTGGAAGTGAATCATGGCACAAACAAAGGAGATCTCCGAGGACCTCAGAAAGAGTTGGTGTTGCTCATCAGGCTGGAAAAGGTTACAAAACCATCTCTATAGAGTTTGGTCTCCACAAATCCACAGGCAGACAGATTGTGTATAAATGACCACTGTTACCCTCCCCAGGAGTGGCCGACCAACAAAGATCTCTCCAAAAGCAAGACGTGTAATAGTCTGTGAGGTTGCAAAGGACTCCCAGGGTAACTTCTAAGCAACTAAAGGCCTTAATCCAGTTGAAATGTTGTGGAAGGATCTGAAGCAAGCAGTTCATAGGAGGGGACCCACCAACATCATCACAATTTGAAGTGGTTCTGTACTGAGGACTGAGCTAATATTCCTACAAGTCGTTGTGCAGGACTGATCAGCAGTTACAAGAAAAGTTTTGCTGCGGTTATTGCTGAAAGCAAAGATTCACTTACTTTTGCAACTTGCAGATTTGTGACACTTTCTTTTATTTATTGAGAAAAATGATCCAAAGTATATAGTTTTGTCTCATTTGTTTTATTGGGTTCTCTTTGTTTACTTTCAGGACTTGTGTGAAAATCTGATGATGTTTTGGGTCGTAAATACACGGAATATAAAAAATTCTAAAGGGTTCACAAACTTTCAAACAGCAGTGTGTGAGAGAATATTTTTTTATTTCTTTTTTTTTGTATAGGACACTGTGGTGGCTCTTCATGCTCTGTCAGTGTACGCCGCTGAAGTGTTCAGCTTGGAGGGCTCCAGCACCATCACCGTACAGTCCTCAGTGGTAGGAGGAGACTCTTATAGCTTTGACGTGAATCGGGACAACAGGCTGCTGTATCAGGAGAAGCCACTGAAGAATGTTCCAGGCAAATACAGTGTTAACGCGATGGGCTCCACCTGTGTGTCTGTGCAGGTCTGTATCTTCACCTCCTTTATTTCTGTGTCTGTTGTGCTCATCCTAATTCTCCTTGTTTTGCTTATCAATCATAGCTTGCGTGTTTCTACAACATCCCGACACCTATTAAATTCGCCAGGATGCTGACTGTTGAGGCAAAGGTGAAGGGAGACTGCCAACTGCTTGGAGCCAATCTAATGTTGAGCTTCACAGTGAAGTAAGAGCAGCTTTGACTTTCCTAAAATCAGCTCATGTTTATGGCTCTAATGCTATTAAAAGGGAAGTTGTTCCTTTTGGCTAAATCTCTTTATTCCCCTTCATTCAGATACAGTGGTGCAAAAGCAAGTACTAACATGGTTATCGTGGACATTAAACTCCTGTCTGGCTTCACGGCAGATACGTCACCAGTTCGTATGGGTTTTAAGATGATTTGTAGAATCCTAAGATGTTTGAAACTCCTTCAGATGTATTTGTGCATCTACACGATGGTCTTTTCCTCACAGCTTGGAACTCCACCTGATGCGTTTGTCCCACTAGTGGAGCGAGTTGATACTGGAGAGGATCATGTCCTAGTGTATCTGAAAGAGGTAAGAGTCTGCATACACTGGGTATATTCTGTACCTGCCACTCTCATGCGTGATGTGTATGTGCATCTGTGCTGCTGTTCTTCACTTCTGTTCCACAGGTTCCCAAAAGTGTCCCTATGAGTTACACAATACGACTGAAACAGGTTCTTGTAGTGAAAAACCTCAAGCCAGCAGTCATCAACGTTTATGACTACTATCAGACAAGTACACTTTCATCATTTGACTTGCACTTGGCTGTTACCTGTATCTTTTGTTGTATGTTTGATCAGACAGGCAATTCTACATGCATACAAAAGGTAATTTCTTGTCCTTTTTCAGGTGATCAGTTTGAGACTACATATACGTCCCCCTGTCAATAATTGTGATGCAGTACTGGCTACAGGACGCTTGAATCAAATAAAAAATTTTATACAGTCAGTCTTTTTGTTGCCTGTTTCTATGGATTAAAGTGTTTGTGTGAGGCTGAAAATCCCAAACTTTTGCACTGTTCACGAGTTTCTATTTGTCCTGCGTGGATTCAGTTCCTTGCACCATGGCTGAAATGCAGTTTATTTGTGCAATGGCTGTTCTTAACTTGGACTTTTCAATCATGTTCACTCGTTGGGTTATTTACGAGTTATCCCTCTAAATTAGGGATGCACGACATGATCGGAATCGGCCAATAAAGGCTTAATGTAAACATCGGCATCGGCCATTTAAAAAAATATAGGCCGCTATGCCTCGCCGATAAGAGGATATCTCACATGTGCTCAGGGTGTGATAGTGATAAGATCACGTCAGCAGTGTGGTCATGAAGCAAACTTTTGATGCGATTCACTGTTTTGCATCGCTGCATTTAATTGGAGAATGCATGAACAGAATGACGTGTCCGGTGTGCAAGAGTCAACAGTTTCTAGCGCGTGCAGCAGCGGCAGCCTCCCCGTGTCCTAATGTCCGACCGGTAAGGCCTTTTATTTACTTAGTGGGCGCTGTTGGCCTACTTGTAATAAAATGAAAGTAAAATACATAAATCTCATTAAAGGTGCAGTAGGAGATCTTGGAAAATGCTAACTTTAGCCTGATAGCACTGAACTGTGAACATCACACCCTCCCTGAAAATCGCCGTTCAAAGCCACGCCCCTGAACGCATATAGGCACGCAGATCAGATGATCAGAGACAACATTACTACAATACATCATGTGTCATTAACCGGTGAGAGAACTTTATAGCACAGTTAGTAAAAGTACTACAATACCAGGAAGGAAGATCAGGTTGTTGATGTTTGCCTGCCATTCTCGCTCTGTCTGCAATAGCGTACGTGATGACGTGTCCTGTCTGTGCCAACCGGGTGTGCAGAGGTATGCTAATACATACGTTGACAGGCAGGTTTGAAAGTCAACCAAAATGCTCGGAACGTTTTGACCACTTACCCTAATGATTGCTATTGGGGCTTGAAGAGACTTTCAACCAGCATAACAAAATGTTTCTGAAGACAATCACCTATTGCACCTTTAAGATACTTGTGTTTCTGAATAAAGCAGGATCGATGTTATAAAATCGCGAATCTGTTGTGATTTAAAGGTCAGAAGCTATTTACTATACACTTGTAAATTAAATAATTTGATATACGGATTTATTCAGTAATATGTAATATATATTTTTTTCAAATGGATCATGAAAACTTAAAGTCCCCATGAAATCAAAATTAAAGTTTTTTTGGGTGTTAGTATCAATATGTTAGTCTTAAGGTTATCTGCTCCAAAGGCAGTGTGCCCCAAAACAGTGACAAAATTCGCATTTAGAAGATATAAGCAATTTTTTCGACGTCACATCGTACTTCAGCTTCTCATCAAACTTTCTGTCCAATCAAACGCTCTCTAGAATCCGAAGCGCCCGCCCCCTACACTATAAAATAGATGCTGAAGCCGCGGCTGAAATCGGTCGCTTGTCCACAGAATTTGTATTTTCTGTGCAGTGAATGGCACGTAGTGCACTATATAGGGGACAGGGAACGATTCAAACAGTGTAAATATGCTTTCCATTACGTGTTTCTAAGCATTTCAGGGGACCTTTAAGCATAAGGAGCTCTAAAAGATTATTATAATTTTTACAGCTCTTTTACTTCGGACCATTTATTAATGTTAAATCCACAAATAAAATGTTAAGGTTTCAACTGCATCTGTCTTAGAAAAAAAAATACAGCAGAAATTAATTTTTATTACAGTTATTTTCCAGGCTTTTAATGTACTCTCATTAAAAAAGAACTTTAATAAAGTTTATTACTTCTAACCTAAGATTTTGCTCAAAACTAACCAAAATTACAAATAAATTGTTTATAATTTCCACACAGGAGACTTGGTGTTGTTTCAGAACAAAGGAAAATATATATCGGCTATCGGCCAAAATGATCTGAAAAATAGTGGGATATCGGCAAATATTTAATATACACAGGACCGCGTATACATTATGTACACAAAAACTTTTATTTTGGATGCGATTAATCGCGATTAATTGTTCCCCAGCACTAATTTTATTTTTAATATTCAATTCACATTTATTTCTATAGCGCTTTTCAAAATTTCTGAATTTTGATCGCCCCTCATGGGGGTACCCACACTTTCGGTCTTTGCACTTGACCACTTGACTACTTATAGCTTTGCGATTGACTGTACAAAGAGAGTTGACAAGAAATCTGAGGTATATTTTTACAGACTGCCGAATGCTACAGAAAAGATAAGCAAAAGAATCGCTGTAATTCACAGAAACAAATGGACTCCAGGCAGCGAAACACGGATTTGCAGTTATCATTTTGTGTTAATATGTTGAATTTTGCAGTAAAATCATACCCTATGTATTGTATTATAATATATCGTATTGACAACTCATCAATTAAATATTTACCATCTTAAATTCTGCATAACTGGATGTTTTTAAATAAACACTTACAAAAGTGTTTGGGTTGAACGGTATGATGATATATATATATAACATTGATAAAAAGCATTACCGGGGATTAGACCAACCTATTTTGTACTTACAAAATGAGTTCACAGGCAAATTTGCTTTATTTCTAATTATTTATTTTATAAATGTTAGAAAACACAATTCCTGGCTGCATATCAATATCCATGGAGCATTGGATATTTGGTAAGTTGTTAGGAACATTATATTGAGTCCAGCAATCTTTAGTTTAAACTGATTATCATTTGTTTTACTCGCGTTTTCGCAGCTTCCCTATTAAAACCAGGCATGCAGCTGCTCTTTTGCCACTCAGTCTGGCTGAGGGGGCGTGTCCCGGCAGGAAAGTAACTTCAACGCATACCTTATATTTGTGGTGCTTCTAATTAAGTGATGAAAAGCAGTTGCAAATGTTGTACAAAATAAATATCACCACTACTCATCTTTGCACCAATAAAACGTGCAACACTTTTTTTTCTACCAAATTATATGTAATATCTAATTATTGTATTAATATTGAACTTACATTGGAATTAGGTTTCCGTGACCTCTTGCAAGATCTCGGCAAAAGTCTCACGATTTATTCCAAAACATGATGTATGATGGGATACACTAAGCCTCAGATAGCGCTCCGGAGTGGTATTCGAGATAGTGTGGATTTAGTGTGCTTTATGCTGAGTTCACACTGCACGATTTTAGCACCGATTTTCACTTCCCGACAGGTTTTGTGAAATCGCAGACAAATGCCCGAAATCGGAGGCAAATCGGTGCTCGTTCACGCGAGTGACAATCACACAGTGTGAATTATCAAAGACGCGATCTGAGAGAATCGATTCAAAAGTCCTGCTGTGTGAAATGAGTTCTGACTGAAAAATACATCTTGTGATGACCTACAGCCAATGAGAGAGCAAGATACCGGGCAGTGGGAAGTTCTGGGAGGAGTTATAGACCACAATATCACAATAACGATTTCCTCCTACATAATCTTTTTTTCTTTTTCGCCCTTTCGCTGCAAATCAATGCACAGACCATTTGTATCGTGATCTTCTTGCGGGCTACCATTTTAATAACATTTCCAGTCTCGCACGAGAACTCTGATCTCACACGTGAGCTTGCGTTATTTCCTTGTCACTTCTCGCATGCGTTTGGTTGTGAAACGTAGTTTGCAGACCAGACAGAGTTGTCAGCGATTCTTCCTATTGTAAAGTCATGCAGTGTGTAACCTCCTGTTGCCAATCCATCATGCAATGTGAACACAGCACCGACTGAATGTTGCCCCAGATAGTCGTGCTGAGGGAAAACAACGGTGATCCGACGACTTTGAAAATTGTACAGTGTGAACTTTGCATTAAAGGGTTAGTTCACCCAAAAATGAAAATTAGCTTGTGTTTTGCTCACCCTCGAGGCATCCTAGGTGTATATGACTTTCTTCTTTCAGACGAATCCAGTCGGAGTTATATTAAAAATTGTCCTGGCTATTCCAAGCTCTATCATTGCAGTCAGCGGGTGTTGCAGTTGAACAGTCCACAAGTCCTCAAATAAAGCGCGCGCATCCATAATAAAACGTGCCTCACACGGCTCCGGGGGGTGAATGAAGGCCTCCTGTAGCGAATCCATGCGTTTGTGTAAGAAAAATATCCATATTTCAAACGTAATAAACACTTTTCTCTCACTTCATCTAACTGTGGTACACGGAAGCAGTTCCGACGTATGACGTCGGCGTAGCGTGATTAGTGACGAATGCGGAGAGAGAGCAAAACAAAACGCCGGTCATGAATTAGAAGCACAAACCGAGGATTTGCAAAGAAAAATGTTGGAGGATTTCGATATAAACCAAGAGGAGACTGGTTTTCCTTTGCTAAAGTAAGGAAACTTTGCTTCCTTTGCTCCTATAAACAAACTCGCGAGACTAGCATATCTCAGAGGCACGCGCGCTGCGCATACGTACGGAACGGCTTCCGCGTATGACAGATAACAGAAGTGAGAGAAAAGTGTTTATTATGTTTGCAATATGGATATTTTTCTCACAAAAATGCATGGATTCGCTACAGGAGGCCTTTATTCACCCCCCGGAGCCGTGTGAGGCACGTTTTATTATGGATGCGCGCGCTTTATTTGACGACTTGTGGACTGTTCAACTGCAACACCCGCTGACTGCAATGATAGAGCTTGGAATAGCCAGGACAATTTTTAATACAACTCTGACTGGATTCGTCTGAAAGAAGAAAGTCATATACACAAAGGATGCTTCGGGGGTGAGTAAAACACAGTCTAACTTTAATTTTTGTGTGAACTAACCCTTTAAGGGCACTGCGCTTTGGTGTGTTTAAGACTTGGGACAGTCTTACGCACTTACTTCCTGTCGCACGCATGCGCTCTCAAGTGGCCAAGACCGCAAGTGAGGGTATTTGGACAAGGCACATGTTTCTTCTTCTGAAATAGCCACACAGTTCCAGGTTTGGGGGGTTCCCAAT